CCCTAGAGATCGAACTCTCCTTGTTAATCAATATACATTTTTAACTAGGTTGTGTACATTTGCATAAATATTAATGTAAACTGTCCGCCTGCTTTAATATCTGTGAAGCCAGTCACCTGTTATCGAAGGTTATGCATTTTTTAACGTACGAAAGTTACAATTTTAAATCAAAATATATGGCCAAATGTATAATTTCCTAATTAAACTTTCGAAAAATCATTAAAATCTTGCACAGATCTATAACCTATTTAAAAACAATAGTATACTATGGCCCTGGCGCATGTGAAATAATTCAAATACTGATGAGATTTTTTTTATATTTTTTTGTTATTCATTTTTACCTAAAATTCTACTGGTTCACTAGGCACTTTTTTCGTAAAGTTTTTGGTTCAATTAAAATTTTCCTGTACGTGAAATCGGGTTTTGGTGAATTTATTTCCTAACACTTGACTGCTCTGTACGCTAATCAAAAACGTATTGCTTAAAATAATGTTTTTACGCTAAGAATTCAAAGCAAGGCCATATTTTCCAAAAGATAATTTTTAATAATAAAAATAATAATATTTACTAACAAGTAAATCAGCTTTTTTATAGCAACGTAGAAAGTAAATTAGCTCTGTAAAAACAGCCAATAGTAGAATTATCTTATGAAATTAGAGCTTATATGGATTTTTGTCGATTTCTAAACAAAGAAAAATTAACATTTGTTGTTATAAATACATATGTATGATCGCAACTGGGTGTGTTCCGATAACAGATAAATAAAAAATCTAGTAGTTCTTCATGACTATTTTCTCCGGTAATTAGTTTACATTTCTTGTCGAAACCTATTGGTAAGTTCTCATGTATTCTATATATTCTACAATATGGTAGTGGGTTAAGGGAACGGGTGGGCGAGAGCTAAGGATCCTGGGTCACTAGAGCAGTGATGTCAATTCCCCCTTTTTCCCGTCAAATTAAGCTTTTTTTTAAGTGTGATTGCAGGAAAAATTTTAAAACAGCGGGCAGCGGAAATTTCAGCTTTTTTAGGAAATTTTTTTTAATGTTAATATAATAATTTAATTGTGTTTGGTATTTTTAATTTATATCGCAACAGTATCGATATTTACTTATATTAAAAAACTTCATTCAAAAGTCCACACCTAAATTTGGGTTGTGTATTCGAGGAAAAACATACATTAACGGTGCCAAAAGAGACTTACAAACAAAAGCTCCGAGATGCCTCGCATCAAAGCACTGAATTTTAGAATTGGATTAGACACTATCCCACTTAATTGACCAGGGATAGCGAAATTTAAAAATACATTTTATTTTTCATAAAATTTTTACCAAAATTCTGAAATAATATAAAATGGCCATATATAAAATTATGCAAAACCGTTTAAAAACAGCAAAGTTATAATTATTTTTCTAAAAATTTATCGAACATTTGTATGGCAGCTATATGATATAGTCGTCCGATCCGGCCCGTTCCGACATATATATCAGTGAGAGTATATAGAAGACTATATGCAAAGTTTCATTCAGATAGCTTTAAAACTGAGGGACTAGTTTGCGTAGAAACAGACAGACGGACAGACAGACAGACGGACATGGCTAGATCGACTCGGCTGTTGATGCTGATCAAAAGTATATATGTATACTTTATGGGGTCGGAAACGTCTCCTTCACTGCGTTGCAAACTTCTGACTGAAATTATAATACCCTGCAAGGGTATAAAAAGTAAGATTTTATAATACAAAATAATATTTTTCTAAGTCAAGGAATCATTTCCGACCCCATAAACCGTATATATTCTTGATCAGCATCAACAGGCAAATCTTTCTAGACATGTCCGGAAGAAATCGATTTTTTGGCCATTTTTGCGAAATTTGATAAGGGGTTACATCATTAAAATTCTCAAAAATGACCAAAAATTTTGATTTCTTAAAATTTTAAATTTGGTATGCAGTTTTTTTTAAATTAATGAAAACTAACACAAAACTGCTTTCCGAATCGAAATTAATGAATTTTTGGCTTAGTTATGATAGATTTTAATTTTAACCGGAGGCCAGAGGTTTTAGCCCGAAAATGCGTCATGGTCCGAAACAAGCTACAAGATGAATGCCCAGAAACTGTTGAGAGTATTTCATAGAAAACAAGAAAGGAAGCTACGCCGAAGTTTGTATACCCTTGCAGATTGGTTTTCATATTTATATCATAAATTATAATGCTAAAAACACTCACAAAACAGAATTTCATTACATTTTACCTATACTTATTATGTTTACAGTTTGACAGTTACAGCTTTACATTTTCTCTACATATACCGATTGTTTCTATGGGAGCTATATGATATAGTTGTCCGATTTTCATAAAATGTATACCAAAATTATGAAATAATAAAAAAACTCATATCTCAGAGTAGATGAAAATACGTTTGAAAACAACGAAGTTATAATTTTTTCTATTAATTTCCCGCTGGCATCTATAAGATATAGTCGTCTGATTTTCATAAAATTAAAACCGAAATTCTGAAATAATAAAAAATGACAATATCTCAAAAATAATGAAAATATTTTGAAAAACAGCCAAGTTATAATTTTTTTTCAAAAAATTTGTTGATCATTTGTATGGCAGCTATATGATATAGTCGGCCGATCCGGCCCGTTCCGACATATGTAGCAGTGAGAGTATTCAGACGACTATATGCAAAGTTTTATTCAGATAGCTTTAAAATAAATAAAACTGAGGAACTAGTTTGCGTAGAAAACGGCTAGATCGACTCGACTGTTGATGCAAATCAAGAATATATGTATATACTTTGTAGTGTCGGAAATGTCTCCTTAAATTCGTTGCAAACTTCCGACTGAAATTATAATACCCTGCAAGGGTATAAAAAGCCATTCTTAGGGTAGTAAATAGATTGATATATCTTGCAAATATGCATATTCAAAGAAGCACCTTATATGAACATCAAACGAAAGGTATTGAAAAATATATTACTCATAAATGCCAATCTTTAAAATAAACCTCACAGATTAAAAGGTATTCCAATTTAACTTTTAGTTTATTCGCCAAATTTGAATTAAAAGTTATTTGTCAATGTTTATCAGTTTTAATTTCACTCAATGCTCTTCTTTGCGATCTCTAGAATTGGTAGAGTACCCCGCTGTCATTGCCAATATGTTAGATTTTAAAATAAAAAAAAAAACAAACATATTTTCTTAAAATCAGCTCTTTGCTAGCTTTATCCTAATGGAATCCCTTTTTTTATTTTTTGTTAATCCACCTGAGCAAAAAGCTCAGAAGAAAATGACATCACTGCACTGGAGCCCGGCTTGAGATGAATTAAAAAGCCAATTGTTTTTGTAACTGAAAGAAAATTGGGAAATAAAAACAAATTTCATGGTAATTTTGTTTTTTTTTGAAAATGTTTTTGTATTTTCTTTAATATTTTCTGTTTTCTTTGTTGTAATGATACGTTCTCTTTTCGCTCGTTCTTTTTTGCATTTCTGCATTTTTGACAAATGCTTTTACGCATATATGTATATATATATATACTTATACATAAAATATACATATATATACATACATATATATATATATGTATGTGTTTATTTTCTTTTGCTTAGCTCTTCTTTATGCTTTTTATTATTTATATCTAGTTATAATATATATATATATAAATATGTTTGTATATATATATAATTTGTTTAAATATTTATTTTACACGTTTTTCTCTCACTATTAGTAGCTCTTCTCTCCTCATTTTTCTCGTAATAAATCGAAAGATTTTCGTTTAATTTAATTAATTGTATACTTATGTGTGTGTATGCGGGGTGTATGTGTGTTGTTTGCAACTTTATAAACTTTGCTTTATATTTAATTTACCTAATGGTTAGCAAAAATAATTTACTTGGGAGTTACATAAACAAATTTAATTTTAGATTTAGATTTATATATCGACAACTGTCAGCGGCCAGCTGTTAGCCGCTGCCACGCCCCCACAGGGGCGATATGTATGTACATTTATGTATTTTTTTGCTTTCTTTCAACATTTCATTATGCTTTTGTAGCTCTACTTAAGATATAGGGATGGGGGTGGTCTAGCAGTGGGCGCTCTTTTCCTTTCAACTTCCGACAATTACAGAATTTAACTAATACGCGCGCGCAAGTTTTAGAAACTTCTCCCCAGTCTGTCTTAAATATAAGACTTGTGGTTGGAAATCCGTTTAATCTGCTCAAAACTAAATAATAATTAAATCAAATTCAAAATTCGTTCATTTTTTAATTGGGGTTTCGCAATTAGCTCAAGTCTTATACATTTCTTTATAGGGCAAATAGGAAAACGAAAACGCAAAACGCAGACAAAAAAAAAAGGAAATAATAATAATAGTAATAATGACAATGATTTATAATAATGATAATTTATTAGAATTATAATTAGAATTAACTAGAAAGCTCCTTCTCCTTTCCTCACTTTCAACTTTCCTGTTTGGTTTGAGGGTTAAAGGCACCGGGGGGGGGGAAGAAAAAAAAAAACCCCGCGGGGGGGGGGGAGAAGAAAAAAAAGACGGCGGCGGGAAAAAAAAAAAAAAAAAAAAAAAAAAAAATAATTTATTTTTAAAAAAAAAAAAAAAAAAAAAAAAAAGAAAGCCGCGCCGCCGGCGCGCCCCCCCCCCCCCCCCCGGGGGGCCCCGTTTTAAAAAGGGGGGGGGGGGGAAAAAAAAAAAAAAAAAAGGGGGGGGGGGGGGGGGTATAGGCTCTTTTGTTGCCGTGCGTATTCATGTATATAGCTATAGCTAATATACAGCAAATAAATCTGAATATATAAATAGTTGGGTCTACAATAGTTACAGTTTTTGTTTACAAAAATTTACATTCGTTTTGCACCATAATATAAACACATATCATCATATTCCATATAATATGTTACAGGTTCCACACAAATTGTTTTTTTTTTTCTATTAATTCACAAAATTAAATACGGCTTTTCTCTCGTATTCTTCAGTTTTTTGTTTTTTTTTTTTTTTGTTTTTAATGACAATTAGTTTAGGTTTAATTTTAAATTGTGACTAACTAAGCACTAGATACGAATATATTTTCATTTATTTCTGTAAGCTGATAATATAAATATTTAATTTAGTTTTTAAATTGGATTTACTTAGCATTAGATTAGTGTATGTTGTGTATGTAGTATATGTATTCTTTGCCCTAAGCACAATTTATAAAAACGATAAACAGAAAATTGGGTTCTAATTAGCACTAGATATCCTCCTTTTATCACCTACTCCTAATCCTAGTCCTAGTCCTAGTTCTAGTCATAGTCCTACTACTACACCTACGCCTTTGCCTTTTGAACTAAATTTCAATTAAATTAGGATTTAATTTCACTTTTTGCTACAACTAGAGTTACATTCACTTGGACGTCGTCTTCTTGCTCGGCGACGTCCCTGTTCTGCTTCTGCTGCTGCTAACCGGAGAGCTGCGTCGCGCTGTCGGCGAACTGCTCGAGGAGGCGGCGGCTGCTGCAGCGGAAGAGGAATTCGAGTTGACGACAGCCAAACTATTGCTGCTGCCGCTCGAGCAGGATGCTGCTGAGGTGGAGGAGTTGGTGTTGGCATCGCCGTAGGTCAGCTTGCGCATATTTTCAATGGCCTCTGACCAGTGAATGGCATAGCCCTCGGGATCATCCAGGTAGTAGGTGCGATTTGGCTGCAAAGCAATAGAAAATTAGTTAGTTTTTGCCTATTGCGTGTGATGTTGATGATGCTAGGTGACGTCAACGGTTCATTAAACCCTCCGAATGAAAATTTACCCCCAACTCACCGTGTGAACAAAGAAGATTTTAAAGTTCTTGTACTCGGCCCTCAGCTCGGGACTCCACGGGATCTCGCCCTTCTTGATCATCTGCACGGGATCAATGTAGATGAGCCGGGGTCCGGTGGTCAGCAGGAGCATACGCTTGCGGGCGAACAGACCCTTGCGCTTGTTGACGAAGCCCTTCTTGAGAATAACCTCGCCGTCGGCAAACACATGCCACTTGTCAGTCTTTTGCTGCTCCAGTCGCTGCAGCTTCTCGCTATCGCTCAGATCGAAGGAATCTGTAAATGCAGATTTATTTAGTAAAAAAAACTCAGATAGTAGTCAATGGAGGTACTTACTCTTCGCTGTCGATCGCTTGGCGGGCATGGCCACGCTGCTGCCCACGCCCAGCTCGGCGCTAAGCAGGCGCGAGATCTGACGCTCGTCTAAGCCAGGCTCCAAATCGCCGGGTACACTATAGTAGCTGGAGCGAATCTCGTCGTCCTGGCTGACACCTGGCAGGTATGGATAGATGGGTGGCGGGGTCGTTTGGCGCACCGTGTCCCAGTCAATGCCGGCGAAGAAGGGATGCGCGCGAATGCTCTCGTAGTAGCCAAACTCGTCCTGGGCTCCCAAGCGATCACGCGGATCAATCTGCAGGAGCTTGCGCACCAAATCCTCGGCATCCTTGTCGAAACCCTGCGGAAAGTCCACTGCACAGTCTAGGATCTCCTTGAAGATGACATAGTCGTTGCTGCCGCGGAACGGCGGCAAACCGGAGATCATCTGGAAGACAATGCAGCCAAGGGCCCAAAGGTCAGCCGCCGGCGTGATGGGTCCATTTTGAAGCACCTCCGGTGAAACGTACTGAGCGGTGCCGACAAAGCTGTTCTTGCGCCGCCGATTGTAACGTCTCTGGCGTTGACGCGGCGAGTCCGTCTCGTCCTGCTGCTGCTGTTGCTGGAGTACATCCTCATCGCCGTCGTCCAGCTCCTCCGAGTACCGGTCATCGTACTCATCATCCTCAGTCTCTAGCCGATCACTGTCCTCCTCGTCATCCTCGTCTGAGTGACTACGCCGCTGCTCTGAGCAATGCTCAGTGGCCAGCAGGCGCTCGTCGTGCGTCATTATCTTGGCGGAGCCAAAGTCAGCGATCAAGGTGTGCATGTCTTCGTCCAGGAGGATGTTCTCGGGCTTGAGGTCGCGATGCACCACATTGCGGCGATGCATCTGCTCGCAGGCCAGCAGCAGCTCGGCGGCATAGTGACGCGTGCAGGCGACATCGAAGCTGCCGACGCGATTGATGTAGGGTAGCAGGTCGCCCTTGCGGGCGTAGGTCATAACAAAGTAGAGGGAGCGCTGGTCCTGGAACGTGCAGGACAGGTTGACAAAACCAGGCACATTGGTCATCATGTGCATCACCTCGCGTTCCCGCTTGATGTAGTCTTGCTTCCGTTCGCGGAGGATTAGCCTCTTTTCGCAAACTTTGACTGAAAGAAGAAAAAAAAATACAGTTAGGATAGATCTCAAAAAATGATTAAAGCCCCTCAAAAATCATTTCCTAGCCCCAATTTATCCCCCTATAGTTTCGATAACGATAGGCCAGCTGAAGGAAACAGCTGTTCCGTGCCAAGTCAATGCCAAAAACCACATTTTACTTGCGGGAACCGCTCTTGGCAAACGATAACGACAACACCAACAACAACAAATAACAATGCAAGAGAGCATTAAATAAATCTAATTAAAAATGCGACATATAAGCACACAAAATGTACGCGTGAGAATAATAAAAACAACACACACAAACACACCTACAACAAGTGTATGGTGTATATATAGCGGACGATAGACTAAATTTGGAGCGCAGGCGACAAGTTTGTCAAAGTCCAATTGGACGTGTGCCGCCCCAGGGGGAATTGGACTTTGCTTGCTGCTATTTTGTGGCCTGGAGAGGAGCTCCAGTCTCGAGACCGTTCGCTCACTCGGACATGGAATAGTTAGTAGCGAAAATGAAGGAGGAATTCTGCTAAAATTGCTAAATTAACAGCGAGACAACGCAAACGAAAGCGAGCGCGCTTGGGAACTTGTTTCTGAAGCCAGCCCTCCCGCCTGCAGCAGTATCCGACGACTGTCCCTTGCCCACCACCACCGCCGAGAGCGTCAAGCGAGCGAGAGCAAAGTTGAAGAAATTTTAAACTGGTTGTTGAACTGGAACTCAGGGAGGAGGGCCGAGAGCCAGGCAAGGAGTGGAACAGAAATATGATGATCCATGTGAAACGGTTTTTCGGGCTTAAGCTTTGCTGCCACCAAACCTTCTTTGGGGTTAACGGTGATTAAGAAGCGAGGAGTTATGACCGCTTATCAGTTAGTTTCGCTTTTGTTTTTGCTTCTTCCGTCAAGTGTGTTTACGTTTACAGTGTAATTTGCACTTGATTTGTTTTCCGACAAGTTGTTGTATTATTTTTTGTTCTGTTTTTTGATTGACAGTCGCAGTAGAAAATCAAAAAAATAAATTAAAAATATATATTTAATAATAACAAATTAGCCGCAACTATATCTGTTGTCCACATTGTATACTATGGCGAAGGCAGCAGTCCAATCACAAATGTATAGGCGAAAAATAAATTCAAGATTATTTTGCATTTCTTGTTTTTTTATTTTTTTTTTGCGGGCCCCTTCGTATCAAGATCAAAACAAAACGCTTTGGCACAACTATTTTGTGGGGGAAGCGCGGGGAACCAATCAGATTCAAAGCGATTGTGTTAAAAAGAATCATATATATATATTTGTATTTCTAGGGAACTGTGCTATGGATGCCCTGTAACCAGAAAATGGTAAAAATAAAAATTATATATATTGTTCATTTATGGATTTCAGGAAATTTAAAATTTTAAAATTATTCTGACAACGGACAAGGTTAAAATACCCTTCACCTCTTACTGGTTGGCATCTAATTAATAAGACCCTGGCACCCTATGGGTACTAGGTATCAAAGCAAATAAAAAAAAAAAAAGAAAATAAAAGAAAAATCTAGACTAAAAACATTGGGGGGCGATAAGTCGTCGGTCGAGTGGCAAAAAAATAAACACAAAAGAAAAAGGAAAATACAGCAATTAAAAGATTAACGAAAAGCAAGGCAAAAGCCATCGAAAAATCAAAATAGTGAACAAAAAACAAAACCGATACGAGAATAGCGAAAATGTTTTTTATGCGTTTTAAATTTCCCATTCCCAGTCGGCTAGAAAAGCGCAAAAAAATGCGTAAAAATAAAATTGACCTTCAAAGTGTGGCTGCGCAAAATATAATATAAAAAATCAAACTGTTTGTGTATGTGATGGGTGTGTGGGAGTGTGATTATCGCACTCCTGATTGGAATGAAATATAACCAAAAGCGCGTTAAGCGGGGCATTCGGTTTCTAGGGTACTCTTTCCTTTTTCTCTCCTTTTTACCGTTACTTGATTGTGCATATTTTTGGCCTTTATCTCTGTTTTAATTGAAAAACTCACATTATTTATTTACTCGGCTCCACTCTGAATTTTTCGGGTTCTTAATTTTTTTACGCTATATGTTAGGTTTAATGCCCTGCTGATAAGCGTAGCCTTGAACTTGGTGCCGCCTTTTTCTGTTTCTGCTTCATTTTTTTTCGCTATGCAGCATGTGCAACAACAACATCACCGAAAGTAAACACATATAAATAAACAGGCTGGCACAACCAGCTGCAGATGAGAAGGAAAAGAGCAAAAAGAAACCCAAAATTCGTCGTCTCAGCATAAATATTTGCAAACAAAAAAAATTAAATAAAAAAAATCGCTTTCTGGAGTGTTGCTATGAGTTGCCATATTGGCCTTTTTCCCGCCAAAATGAATAGCGGTACTGTACGTATAATGTGACCAGCTCCGCTTTAAAGAGTATATTTCCGATTCAAAGTGGTGTCAAGCTAAACGTAGTTGTGCTTTAGTTTAGCACCTGTAACCCTTTAATTATTGCATTATTAACAAAAGTACATTTGTAAGCGATACAAATTTTCCACTGCCGTCGCCTGTTCTCGCCATAACAACGGAAAATAAAGCTTATCAAAGTCTAATCAAAGCAGAGTCATCACAAGCTTAATGCGCCAAAAAATATAATAATAATAAACAGAAACAAGCAGCCAGTGAGCGAGATGCAAACAGAGAGGAAGCAAGAGAGAACAACAACGAATGCATCCAGAGTGCAACTTGTTGCTGCAACTCGCGCGCTCGCACATATGGAATGCTATCCAACGGGTTTTAGAATGGCAAGGCGGCACTGAGAACAAGCGAGAGAACAGACTGCATTAATGGATTGTTGTTGTTGCCATAAAAATAACCAACTAGTCATTTTGACCAGGCCAAAAAAGCAGTGCTGTCTAGCTAGCTAGCCAGCGAGAAATTCCATAAATAAACCAAAATGAAGAAACTGCTGCTTGCAAACTCTTATTGAAGTTGCAATTGTAGTTGTTGTTGTTGTCGGAGGAAGCTGGAGGCCAACGACCAAAATGAGGCAAACATACAAACTGTACACAACTAGTATTCTAAGAGGAGGAAGCGTGAGAGCAATAGATAAACTCTCTTAAAGCGTGGCTTTCTGTAGGTTTCTTTTTTTGTAATATTCTCTCAGTGCAAGGTCGTTGGTTTGGGCGCCATATTTCAAGGTCTGAGAGCACTTGGAAGATCATTTTTACAATAATCCCCCTTGATGAGTCTTTCTTGAGGATGAGAAATCATAAATCCCACAGTAAATGTAAAATTTTATTAAAATGTCACTATTTCTGCTTCTGTTTCAGTTCAAATTTCAATAATTGGCCACCGTAAACGAGGGCTCCATGACGTAGTAGCGCACGAAGCCGATACGCTAAACCTCATTTAAATGTGAAAAAGTGGGGAGCTAAAAAAAAAAGGAGGTATATAGCAAAATAGACACAAGACCCTAGAGAATATAAGGCAGCTGTGTCAGAACAGGGGCACGACGCGTCGAATGAAAAATCCATCCAGGTAAGCGCAGAGACCTCAAAAAAAAAAAACAGCGAACAAAAGCAATACAGCCTGCGAGGGGACTTCCAAGTACAGTGATCTCTGTCAAAAGGATAACTTTGAGGAATTAACTAGTAGCTCCTTTTGACTTCCCCTAAATTCTGGCCTCACAGTAATCCCGAGTCATAATCATTTATGTTGCTTTTGGAGTTGGCTTTTTATGGCTGTGTATGCGTGTGCCTCTGTTTATTGTTATTATTGTTGCTCGGTTAGCAAAAGTTTATTGCCCTCATGGAGCAGCAATATACTATATAGGATATCCTATGGACTTGGCTTTGGCGACATATTGACTGCACGCAAAGGAATTTGAATATAACTGTTGTCGCGCACAGAGACAGTATACATAGTTTCACACAATAATACCAGAAAAAAAAAAACAAGAGCTAAAAGCTTGCAAGTCCTCGGCACATCTCTTATTGCGGCTCCTGCTCTCGTTGTTTTTTTTTCTGCCCGACTTCCTGGCGCCACTTAATTTCGGCTATAAAGCGTCAGGCGGCCTTGGCACGTGCAGGATCAGCCACCCACTACCCTGCAACAGATGGTGCACCTATAAAAAAAAAGCAAGGAAAGAAAGGTGCAAAACGCTGGAAGTTACGATTCTGCCCAGGGGAAAAGGTGGTAAGGAAGGGATTCCAGGCATAGGATTGGGTTGAATGACCCAAATTCCCTTCCAAATATTGTGTTACCGAGGCTCGAAAAAAAAAAGAAACTGAAGGAGCGGTTGAATACCCTCCCGGCCTCAGCCAGCTGCGACTGCGCAGCGACAGCTGCTGTCCAAAAATAAATGTGTAATTAAAAATAACACGGCCGTATAAACGGCCCAAGGAGCTGGCACAAAGGTAAATATGTCAAGAAATTACCAGACACTGCCGTCGCGCACATCACCAACCCCCAAGGAGAGATCGAAAAACTGAAGCTGAGAAACGGGAACCTGGGAACTAAGAACTGTTTTGAGTTCGAGGAACGAGTTCGAGAGTTCAGTGACCGACAAAAAAAAGATTTTTAAATACTTATTAGTATAGAAGTGTCTAGAAATTCTATATTCCAAATGTCAAACCGTGGACTCTACCACGTTCTGTTCATTATACCCTTGCAGGGTATTATAATTTCAGTCAGAAGTTTGCAACGCAGTGAAGGAGACCTTTCCGACCCTATAAAGTATATATATTCTTGATCAGTATCAACAGCCGAGTCGATATAGCCATGTCCGTCTGTCCGTCTGTCCGTCTGTCCGTCTGTCCGTCTGTCCGTCCGTCCGTCCGTCCGTCCGTCCGTCCGTCTGTCCGTTTCTACGCAAACTAGTCCCTCAGTTTTAAAGCTATCTGAATGAAACTTTGCATATAGTCTTCTATATGCTCTCACTGCTATATATGTCGGAACGGGCCGGATCGGACGACTATATCATATAGCTGCCATACAAATGTTCGATATATTTCTAGAAAAAAATTTATAACTTTGCTGTTTTTCAACATTTTTGCACCATTTTTTAGATATGGCCATTCTATATTATTTCAGAATTTTGGTAAAAATTTTATCAAAATCGGACGACTATATGATATAGCTGCCATAGGAACGGTCGAGAAATAAATAGGAAAAAAAATTATAGTTTCGTTGTTTTTCAACGTATGTTTATCTACTCTGAGATATAATATTTTTTTATTATTCTAGAATTATGGTATAAATTTCATAAAAATCGGACAACTATATCATATAGCTGCCATATAAACCGATCGGTAGATGTAGAGAAAATGTAAAACTGGGAATGTAAAACTGTAACTGTCAAACTGTAAACATAATAAGTATAGGTAAAATGTAATGAAACTCTGTTTTGTGAGTGTTTTCAGCATTTAAATCTATAATATAAACATCGAAACCAATCTGCAAGGGTATACAAACTTCGGCGTGCCGAAGTTAGCTTCCTTTCTTGTTTTATTTAAAATATCCCAAACGATTGACTCTTTTGCACAAGTTGCAACCGAACAACAGGACCTTCGTGGGTGCAACAGCATCTACTCTAGCTAACAGCTTGTGAGATCAATTCCTGGAAATCAACCTCACCCCCTTCCTCTGTAGATAGCATGTGTTGTTGGTTTGAAATAAAAAAATCTTTCCATTGCTCCACGCAACATCCAGGTAAGCAGTAATCGCTGCTGCTATTGTTACCGAAGGTAATGAAATACTTGCGCAGGTAATAGAGGTGAAAAGCCTAGAACCCCAATTTCGTATGTTGTGCTTCGTATTTCGTATGGCGTCAAATAGACACCGCCGCCGACGCCGTCGCCGCCTAACGTTGTCGTCATTGAAAATGGCAGGCAACAATAACAAAAGCAAATACCAAGTGCGTGAGCGGTGGGAGGGGAGACGGGCGAAAAACGAAAATGAAAGCTGCTGCGTTCATGGTGGGTGTGCTTGAGTGAGGGGAAAGGGGGTGCGTATCCGTGTGCGTGGCTGGCAGACAATTGTTGCTTGCTGCAAAACTCATATGATTTGGCAAGAAAGAAAATATATAGAAAAACAAAAGCAGCAGAGCGCATTAACCTTCAAAATACTAACATTGACTGTAAAGAACCTGTCAATATTGTTCGCCTATTTAGTGCAAAATCAAAGGTGTAAACTAATTTTGTGTATAAATTTACAAATTGTTTATTAATTTTCATTGCGGAAAAGGTACGGCGCGAGCTAGTCTCTCAGGGGAAAAACTGTTTACGACCCGAGAGTGTTTATGTGCGTGTGTTTGTGCTCATTTTTTTTTTTTAACAACAACTTGACTTTGATTTTATTGCTATTCGTTTTAAATGCAATTAAAGTGGCAGCAGCGGCAATAACCTTATTGCTTTTAACAGTCCTATGTTAACTGCGGCGCTCTGTTGTTGCTGCTGCTGCTGCTGCTGCGCTGCCTCTGCTCTGCCCATCAAGTGAGCTTAGGCTATGCAAGCAGCAAGTGCATTCTGATAGCCACGCGCCGTTATTTTTGCTGTCCCGTCCCCCTGACCTCACCCCTCCACACTGTTTTGCTTTGCTTTGGCTTTGCTGTGCGTGTTTTTGCTGGCGTTTGCATTTATGCGACACGTGCCGTTATTGTGTGCTTCTATCTTGCTTACTTGCTCTTTCTTTCCCTCTCGCATATTGATTTGCCCTGCTGTTGTTATATGTACATATATATTTTGCTGTTTTTGTTTTTGTTGCTGCTGCTGTGGCAAAATCATTATCATACACTTCCCACTTACCCCGCCCCCGCAGCAAGAAATGAAAATCTTTAAGCAAATTGGCTTAGGACAAATAAACAAGGTAGAAAAATAAGTCGTTAGCGTCAGAGTCGTTTTTAGCCTCTAGAAACAATGAAACTAGAAATCTAGTTGGAAAAACAACAGCTAAAAGCTAACAGCTTCTTTTTGACTCACATTATTTGCCGTTAATTGAAATTGCAATGCAAAACAGCTGATTTAAGGCAGAAACTAACGTCAGCCTTCTTTTTTTTAATCGATAAACAACAGGCAACAGCAGAAAAGCAAAAAAAAAAAACCAAAGCATAATACAGAGAATATAGAAATGAATAATAAAAAACGTTATCACACTTGATACTGATAACAAATTAACTGTTAGCTAGCTCGCCATTATCCGCCGTTTTGCGTTGGCGTCTTTTATGAAATGTTTCCAATAACAACTACAATAAGGGTCACGTGAGCGTCCACTGATTTGTTGTTGCCAACAGCAGATGGTCTGCTGTCTGCCTGTCAGCTGGCTTTCAACACAGGGCTGATAAGGAGCCATCTTTCGGGATAAAGCATTATTATTAATTAATTTTATTTTTCTTAATTTGAATTGCCTTTTGATCAACATATCCACAATCCATTCTACTGGTAACCTATGCCAACAATCACAGCTACTGCTTACGGCACTTGGCGATAGAGAATCTCTCAAGAAGATGATAGTGGGGTAATTTCGTACATAATCGCACATAGACGAGCAGGTGACAAGCAGCAACTACTACTACAGCCGGCGGCGACAATAGCAGACAACACACACACATATATATGTACATCTACAATCGCCGACAAGCGGCGTCTACGTGGCGACCGCATTCTCGCGCTGGCGCCGACAAGAGGCCATACGAATGCCGTGCAAATGCTGTGGGCGGCAGCAGCGGCGGCACACTGAGCGAAAGTGGATGCCCACCCATTACCTAGTGTACACATAGGTAACTGGTTACCAATGCTGGGTACTTACTTGCATACTCTCGGCGCGAATGAATGTCCACTGCCAAGTAAACCATGCTAAAGCTGCCTTCGCCAATGTAACGACCAAAAATAAAATCGTTTGGTGACCTTCTTGGGGCAGGATTAACTGGCTGTTGCTGTTGTTCCTGCTGTTGTTGCTGCTGCTGTTGCTGCTGCTGTTGTTGCTGCTGCTGTTGTTGCTGCTGTTGCTGATTAAGCTGCTCATTAAACTGCTCCACCTGCTGCTTAAAGGCCTGCTGCATGGTCAATAGTGTGTTCATCCCATACTGGTACTGCTGCAGACAGCACAACTTGCTGCACTGCGGCGTCGTGGCCACCGACGAACTGTTGCTGGCAACTGCCGCCGCCAAAGGCGAAGTGTGGCCTGCAAAAAAGAGAGAGAGTAGTGTCAGAGTGGGGAATCTCAAAGCAGTCGCAACATGTTGCCAAGTTTTTTGGATCTATTCATGCTAATTAGAATGGTAGGGGAATTTTAGCTTTGTGTCCAAACAAGGGCAAGATTAACATTTGATAACTATAACCTAATTACATTTACTTCTATGAAAGGGTTGGGCAATGGAGTGTTAGTTAAGGGTAATAAAAATCAAATTTTGTAAGCTCTTCAGAAGAAGCTAAAGGGAAAAGTGTACTGATGAATTACTGGTGACAAGCGAAACATGTTAAACGTATTTTCTAGTAATTTATCTAACTAACTAACTCTAGTTACTCACCATTTGTCAGATACTTGTTGCTGCCGCCGTAACGACTGTTATTATTGTTCTCGACGGGCGCGGATACCTCTCCACAGCCGCAGGTGCTATGTCGCTGCTGCTGCGGGTCATGCAGGCGGGCTGTCGTAGAGGCCATTACGAAATCCTTTAAATCCTTAATATCCCGGAAATTGGACTCGTTCAAGGACACTGGCGCTGAGGCTTTCTCCTTGGCCATAGCCGGCATTGTTGCCGCTGTCGCCGCTGTTGCTGTTGAGGCAGCAATATTGAACTGCTGCTGCTGCTCAATGCTGTTATAGCCGCTGTCGGTGCAGTCTGTGCTTGTGGCGCTGCTGCTGCTAGAGGCTGCTGCAACCGTAACTGAGACAACGGCGGCCGCTGCAATGCTGCTGGCGCCGCTGGGCGATTGAAGGAGCTGCTGCTGCTGCTGTGTACCGTTAATCTGCAAGCATATATAAATAAACAATTAAAAATAAAATCGAATTGAATATTCTCCGTATTTTTTCAGCACAATTAACAAGAATGTTCCCCCAATTTGTTGATTATAATTGTTAATTTCGATCGTTTAGTAATTCCAGTTTATGGGGATTATGGATCGCACATGCTATGACTTTCTGTATAATTTATTTATTTCAGACTTTGTGAAGAAAACAATGACAGAATAAGCTATAAGCTAATAATATGAGCAAGATATTTGTGCTGACAAATGAGGCACTGTGCTTATCGATAAACTGATTCCTAAGAAAGTCCTTTATTTAAACCGATTCATTTGATTTAAAACTATATATTATCACGACGAGAAAGAGGAATTGAACACGCAATAAATTAAATTCTGTTGCGCAGTCGCAAAGGCCTACAAAAAAAAGTGGCAAAGAAGGCCTCGCAAAGCGGAACTCAAGAACAGGTCCATAAAAGGCACAAAATCTGCCCAGTCCGTCGCCGCCATTGACGTCAAGTTCATTGGCTTGTTGTTATTTCGCTTTCAACCTTACTTGTTATGAGGTGTTTGTGTGTGTGTGTGTGTATGATTTTGGCGGGTTCAAGGACTTGAAGCATAAAAATATAATAAAGTTCATTGCCACCTGTTTACATTTCTATTAGAAGTTTATGCTGCTGTTTTTTGGACTTTGCCTTTGTTTTCGTTCGCTCGTTCGTATGTCGTTCGTGCTTCTCTTTGTTGACCAGTTTTTCATTAAGGGGGGGGTAAGGTATTTAATTTTTTTTTTCGTAAATTTTTTTTTATTTTTTATTTTAAAAGTTCAATATCTTAAGAATATTGTGTCCAAGTTTTACATCAATCAAAGTAAAATTGACGAAGTTATGCGGAGTTGAACGAAGGTCGTCTGGTGTTCAATGCATGAGAATCACAAAGTTTAAAGCGCTCTCCTGAAAAATGCCATTTTGAAAATCGGTGTACACGATAACTAAAAATATACTGAACCAATCGGTTTGAAATTTGGAACATAACTTCTTTAGATAATTCTACAGGTATTCTCGTCGAGCTTTTTTTAATTTTTAATTTTCTTATATTTTTTATTTAACAAATTAACTTAATTTTTTAGTCAAAAATCGGGGTTTTGACTTCAAATTTTGATAAAAAATAGGGAAAAAATTTTAAAAATAAAAACGCTTCGAGAATACCTCGGGACACTTATCCTTTAACGAATGAGGTATAATTTTTGTAGATCGGATGATTCTGTGGACAGTTAGGATGTACACCGCAAACCAACTTTTTTGGAGGCGACTCGGGAGATTCCCTATAACTCCTCTACCTCTAAATATTTTTCAATACAAAATTTATCACAAACTGTTCAAATGTTGTGTTATTATATGGTATTTAATTCGTTAAGCTAGCTTTAGCCGTTTCGCCACAACATTTTTTTGAAAAGTGGGCATTTTTGCACCGAATTAACCTTACCCCCCCCTTAAGCGAAACCAATTTCTATGGCGTGATTTCTCAAAGAATTAAAGCCCTTACAGCTTTAGCTATAAAACTAACAAATAATAAGGAAAAAAACATATAAATACAATCAGCAGAGTCAGGCTAGGCTTGCAAAAACCGCCATCTGATAAACGAAATATGCTTTGGCATTCAGAGATTATTAATTATGCAACAACACAAGCCAACCACTGCTGCACCATAAAACTACGAAAAAATTTGAATAAAAATCAAGGTGAGCTAATGCGTCAATGAAAGTTTCAGCTGCTGGCTGGGTGCCTGGCAAAGCTAAATTTAGAGTAACGAATAGCCAAAGATTAAGATACGATGGAATAAATGGAACCAGACTTAAGATATCTCTAGTCTTTAGGAACCTGGCCTGGGAACCTAAAAGCAAAGCAAATTCAGACAGCAGTTCGATCCACTTTAATGGATCGTCGTCTCCCTGTTTGTGTGTGTGCGTGTTAGGGGAAGGCCCCAAGGGCCTGGCCTGGCCCTAAAACAGGTGTATTATCTGGAAAATAGTCGTCGAGTTGATGTGCGTCACACTCATCGGAATGCGGTTGGTTTACTTTTTAGAGACCAGACCCCAATGGAAATTAGAGAAATATCGGGGCGCCGATGCGAGAGATTCAGATACGGGGTTCGGAGAGAGAGGAGAGAGAAGTCCCTCTCTATGTTAAGACATGACCTCAGAGCTATCTGCCGTAATACACCCACGAAGTCCAATCTAAACAAAATAAACACAAAATTCTCCAATATTTGAACTCTGGCGCAGAGCAAAGTTGCCAACCTACTTTTTTGAAATGTTTGGTTTTTTTTTATTTTGTTTTATCCCCCTTTTTGTTTTTGTTTTTGGCGACTGCGAGGCTAATTAAGCCGACGATCTGCGTCAGCGTCTGAAACTGGTCAACCCATTGGTGAATGGCAACCACACAGAAGCAGACAGAATAAAACAGGAAATACCCAAAATTCCAAAATTGTATTGTGTCCATTACATGGGTTAGGTTTTTGAGGCTTAAACCAGATATCTACGTCAGAGGGGGAGAGACCTGATTTGCATCAAGACCAATATTATAATAATAGCGAGCGAGATATCAAGACGATCCATAAAAATGTCGTGGAAAAATTTCTTGTTGCGGGAGAATACATATTATATGTATGTATATCGAAAAGCTAAGAGTGGGCGTGGAAAAACCAGATGACACCAGGTCCCTCATGGGTCCGAGAGTCCGAAATCTCACGATACAAATCCTATATATGCATCATATGTGGGGGATGTGTGGGATATATGTAACCGATCTATAAACATAGAACTGCCGCGCATCCCGCCCAATGTCTCCTCTTTGGTGTCTGTGTCGGTCGGTGTGTCTTAGTCGTCTGCGGCGTCTAGACAAAAATGACATTTAAATTAATCTATTTTATTGCCAGGCCAACGGCGTTAGACGGTTTTGTTCTGCTGCCAGAAGCACCACCGATCCTCGCCCCAAACCAACACCTCTCTCTGTGTTCAATTTATATTTATAAATAAAATTTTCGTCTACAGAATGCAGCCAATTGAAAGCAAAAATGCACCCCGACGAGGCATTTGATTGGAAATAGCAAGAGGCGTTGTCTCTATATCTATCTCAATGTATCCCAAGGTGTATGTTATTGCGAAAGGAAAACCAAAAAAAGCTTACACACGCTAAATATACACACAATGTTTTTATAATTTTGGCACAACATTAAAATTGAAAATCGGCTAGGCGAGGCCACACACAGCAGATCCATAAAATCGAAAAGGTAAAACTATCATTAGCATTTTTCCTTTGTGTTAGTGAACGGCAAACGAGCCCCTTAAAAACTGGCTATGGGGAACAAAAAAAAAGCTTAGCTATTTAATATTTTTAATAAAGTTATTAGGGAAAATACTATATTCCTAGGCCTCAAGTTTTTGATTCATTTTAAGCAAAAATGAAAACTAGCAAAGATAATGCAAATCTAAGATAAAAAAAATACCATCAGCCTTTTTTTTTTTTAAATAAAAGAAATAAAAATTCGCGGAAATTTTTGTCTTTTGTTATTTCTATCTTTCGTTTTTTCCCTCCTTCCCGTTGTAGGCGTCGTATTTTTTGTTTTTATGGGACAGTGCGGATCAGACGATAATGATTTTTTTTTTTTTTTTTTTTTTTTTTAGCCGAAACGACGACATGTTTTGCATAATTCAGAGCGTTTTCCTGGCCTGGTAAAACCCCCAATTCTCCCCCGGACACAATACCTGCTGCATTGGAATCAACGTCGGCATTTCGTCCATATTTTTAGACTCAAAATTATAAATATGCGGAAGAATTTTGGAACAAAAAATTTTGAACTTTGCCGGGGGGACTTGATTTTTTAGCGCCGCCTTTGTGTCATCGAAAACAAGGCCTGCTGCCTTTTCGCTTTTCTTGCAAGGCAAATAATAGTGAAAATGCGCTTATGAATGAAAATGCACACGACAGAGAGATAGAGAGAGAGCGGCAAAACAAGAATGCAAATGCAATTATCCGCTCTACCTCTCTCCCACTAACACTTACGGTGTTGTTTCTGCGCTTTGGCATCGACGATTACAAAACTCGGCTCTCCTCTCTCTATCAAAAGTCTACTCTCCTGGCTGCGTAGAATGCGAGTGAGAGAGCGAGATGGCCGCCGCTCTCTGTTTGTGTATGTTGTAATTGCGATTCGGGTACAAATTCCAATGGGCACACGCAAGAAGAAGAGGAAGCATACACACACTGACAAGAATATGTCTCCAATAAAGCGCGCGTATTTTTTTTTCGGCTCTGCGCGTGTCACTGTATATATGTGTGTGTGTGGTGCTGTTAATTTTATTTATTTTCGCTTTGATTTTTCACACTCTTGCTCCTTTTTTTTTCCACAAATAAATTTCGAGTAATATCTCACGTAGTATATGTTTGTTGAAACAAGACGCACACAAAATTCGCAAGGAACCAACAACAAATATAACAATAATAACGACGACTATAATTCCGACGCAGTAGGAAAATTTTATAAGAACGCGACGAGACGATGCTCTGTTGGTATGTGTGTGAGTGTGCTTTTATAGGAACTCTTCTTTACTCGCAAACGGTACTTCTGGCTTACTATATTTTATGTTGTACATTTGTTTGCCGTAACTTTAACTATTTTAACATTAATTTGACTAATGAAAACAATCGGTTGAAGTGAACACAACACGGAGGAGGAAGAGAACAACACGACGAACGAACACACACGTTACAAGTTACGAGGAGAGAACGAACAACTACTAGCTCGTATTTTGATTTGATTTTTTATGTAATTTGTTTGGCCTTTTGTGGAGTATTATTTAATCGCACACGAACTTGGGGCGTGTGTGTGTATATGTATATCAATGCCAGCGCGGCGTGCGTGTGTATGTGTGCGTGAATCGAGCGCCGCCGCGTTCACGAAACGAACGAAAGAAACGTCCGGTTTGAAAGCATACACAATATGTGTAGGCCTTTTTCCAACACCGCGGCTGAAATTTTTCCGCGACACAACAACCGCCTTCGTTGAATTATTTTTTGGACTTGTTCGGACTTGCCGTTACTGGTATTTATAGGCAACGCTCTCTTCCTCGTCGGCGTTTCGCTCTCTTCCGCTGTTAGTGCTCGGCTCCTCACTGTCAACGCAGTTCTGAGCGGTATTCTGTAAAGCGGAATTTTGGCTTAAAGATACTATTTTCCTCGAAATACTTCGAATATATGCAAAAATAGGACTAATTGCTAGAGTTTTAAGCTAAAACCTCTTGGAATCAATCAGAAATCTTTACGTCTTTCACTATTTTCAGTTAACAACTTTGATGTTCGGTTAACAGCGACGGGCCGTAACAGCGGCGACAGACGATGACAACAGCCGCGGAGAGAACGCCAGGCAGCCGAATGGAGCCGAGCGCCACACGAGAGAACGGCGACTGAGAGCCATGTTAAATGGGGCCAAGCAGCGCAGTCGCGTCGCCGCTGGCGTCGCAATTTTTTACAAGGCGAACAAGTTGCGCGCCACTTTTCAAAGAGAGAAAAAGATAAAGAGAGAGAGAGTAATTGTTGCACTGTAATTGTTTGCCAGCGACTTTTTATAAATAAACAACTCCAAGGCAAAGCCAACTAGTTCCAATCCACAAAATGAACACAAGATCCCAAACGAAGAGCAAAGAGCACGCTATCTTTTTGCCTGAAATGAGCGAGCGACCGCATTCCTAACTGTAAACAAGCAAAAAGCAGAGCAAGGGAAAGAGGAAGGGGCCCAAGAATGCGGCGCTGCTGGAAAAACTCGTTTTTCCCGCTGGAAAATGTGGACAAAAAAGAATTTCAGGAATTTTCGCGCCCCTAAGAGCGAGCGAGCGAGTGCGTACAAAAATAAATAGGCATCAAAGCAGATGGAGGAAAAAGGAATACACACAACAAAACGAGGAAGTGAGAGGGGAGAAACGAGAAACTACAGCAAAACAGAGCGAACAAAACAAAATGCGTGAAAAGCAAACCAACAAACGGGGGAAAAGGAAAACCGAATTGGAACAAGAGGGGCAAGACAGAGACAGAAACAACGACGGCGACTTTAAATAAATATTATAAAATACACGAGATGCAAGTGTGTGTGTGTGTAACAACAGTAATAATAATAACAAAACTGAGCAACAGACATGCAAGTGAAAGGCGTCTGCGTTTTTTTTTTTCTTTCTCTGCTTCTCCGCTTCTTGTGTTTTGTTTGCAAAAAGTGGTCAAGAGGTAGAAGGCAAGAAGACAGCGGAAGGAAGGGAAGAAAATAAGAGGAATGAGGGGAGGATAACAACTTCACATTTCGCTGATTGCGTTTTGCGCGCTTTACCAAAGAGAAAATTAAATAAATACATTATTTATTATTGCCAGAGCTCATAAAATAATAACAAACAAAACATAAAACTGTGTTTTCCCTATTTTATTGATGTTTTCCTTTCGAAGTAAAAAACTGCAGTTGTAAACTGAATTTAATATAAACTCGCTTTACTTTGCATAAGTGTGCACAATTTTGTATAATTTATTTTAATTATACTATTTATATTGAAAATAAAAATATACGTTTTAAATCATTCTCATTTTTTAATAGCTGTTCGTAGACAGCTTTGATTTTAATTTTTTTTTTTTTTTATCACTTTATGACTTTGATCTTTGGCTTTTTCGGTCTGAGCATTTTTTATATATTTAAACTAACAATAAAAAGTTTTTATTTTTATTTATTTTTTTTTTTTTAACTTTTAATGTTTCGTAGCAATTTTATTTTATTTTAGAAAATCGCCCCTTAAAGTAGAAATTATTTTGTTACACCTTGTTCATTTTTTATTTTTATTAACTTTGTATAAAAAATTCTTTAAAAAAGTTTGCTAGCTTTTTGGATCATGTAGGTTTTTTTTTTTTATAATTTAGTATTATTCCTTAATTTTGGTTTTCCTTTAATGGCCAGAAATTATAGTTTATAGGATGTCTTTTCATTATCTGCCAATTGTTCTTTTTCCCCTATTTTATATTGAAGTTCACAATATTTACCTTGATGGATTTAAGTCTGCGCACAACAAAGTTGTTGAATTTATTTGACCAGCTTTTGCATTTCATGGTAGGCTGGAAAAGTCTCCTCCCGAAGAAGAAGGAGACGGCTTGGTGTAGAGATGGCGAAAAACAACGGTAAATACACGGATTGCTTTACTTGGCACTCATAATTTTTCATCAGTAATTATCTCTTTTGCTTTGTGTTGCTGCTGTTGATGTTTTTGCAACTGTTTTTCTTTTATTCACTTGTGGTTTCACTTCAGCGACAATTGTTTCTGTTATTTTTCCTTTTAATTGCAATTTTAGTGCGTACGCACACGACACACGCGAGTGCAGAACGTAAACACGTTTGGATAAAAGACACAACGAAGCGAAGACTTCTCGATTTTCCTTTTGGCGCGCTGAAAGCCAGACGAAGGAAAACTCTGTTTTCTGGTTGCGACTCTCGATTTCTGTTTTCTGTTTTCAGTCGTCCGTTCTCCCAACCGAACCGCGCGAAGTTTGAAAAAAGAGTGAGCACGACTGTGCTCGTCGTTTGAGTTTAAACTAAAATGAACTGCGAGCGCTGCTGCGACGGAACGGTGGAACGGCGCGGCATGGAACACGGAACGGTGGGACTAAGTGCCCAGGGTGGGCCACTTGCACCGAAAATGCGAGCTGTTCACTTCGCTGGCAGAGAAATCATGGAGTGGGTTGTCAATGGGCGTTGAAATGTTGTTTATTTGATTATTATTTATTGGCACTTTTGGAAGGAAATGAATATAAGAAAAATTTTAATAATGTTTAAGACTTTTTGAGGAAAATAAGATAATTTAAAAAAAATTGAATTTGTGCAAAATAATTATTTACTTTAATTTTTATGTGGTTATGATTATAAAAAAGGAAAGTTATAATTTTCCATTATTTACTGTTTATTTTTATAGCCTAAAACACTGAAAAATTTTTAAGGTCTTGAAAAAAAAAAAAACTAAGAATAAATTAAAACACTTTGCGCTTTACTTTACAGTTACAAATGCAAAATGTATAAATTTTAAGCGATATTCGAAAATGCAAAACTTAAATGCGAAAAATCGAAGTGCGATTTACGATTTGCAAGTCATGGTTCCCGTTATTGGCAAACAATTTGCGTTTTTTTATTTGTGTACTTTTCTCCCCCACGTCGTGCACCCATCAATTATTTATGAACACTTTGTGACGCACTTGTTTTCCATTTCTTCTACTTTTTAACATTTCTTCGATATGCAGTTTCTTTTCCTTGCTCTTTTGGAAGATCTTTCGGCGAAAACAACATCAACGGTGAGTCAGAGTACTCCGCGAAATTTCATGTTTGGATCTTCTAACGGTTTGTTTGTGTGGCCCCCCTATTTTCCTCTCCTTCTGTCTAGCAATTATGTGCATTTACTGGAATTTTTGAACTATTTGGAACTGCCGCCGCCGCCCCTCCGCTCTCTTTCACTACCCAGCAAACGATCGTTCGTTGATCCGCGCTCTTAAGGCCCGTCGAATGCCTTCCACAAAATGCAGTCCACACAATTCATTGCGATCGCTTAGTTCCATTACTTCCCAAACGTTCCCTGTTTTGGTTTCATTACGTTCGCGCGCCTTTTTCGTTTACATGCATGTGTGTGTCTGTCTGCTGCTCTCGTTCTCGTTTTTACGTTTTTACTACGCCGCGCAATGCTCGGCGGTTGCCAGAGCGAGATGCAGCGAAAACAAAACAAAATTGTAGGGGTGGGAAGGAGAGGAGCAAAAGTGAGGACTGCAGTCGCTGCTGCTGCTGCTGCGCTGCCGTTTCTCTGCCGAAGTCGACGCTGTTTCGTCATCGAGTTTTTCTCCTTCTCGTTGTTGTTTTTTTTCTTCCTCTCTTTCCGCTTGATGATGCTTCTTCTTCTTTGATGTTTTATTTACAATTTTCCTAGTGGTGTTTTTGTTATTGTTGAGAGTTTCATAAATTATTTCTTTTTTTTTAGGCATTTTTATATTTATATTTTGTATGTTATATTAAAATTACAATTTTCTAGATTTATTGTTTTTTTTTTTACTGTTGTTTTATTTAATAAATAAATTCTTCTTGTGAGCATTGTTAAACAAATAGTTTTGATTTTTTTTTTGTTTTTCTATGAATACTTAAATATTTTTATGATTTTGTTTGTTTTTTAAATTAAATTTTAAAGGTAGTTAATAATTTTCAATATTTTTTTGCGGATTTATTTTGCATTGTAATTTTTGGATATTTTATTTGTAATTATTATTATTTATTTTATTATTATTATTATTTATTTATTGTGTTAATTTAATATTTTCCCTTTTCGTTAGTTAAATTTTTTTTTTTAATTTTTAAAGGTAAATAAATATTTTATTTAAATTATGAATACATTTTACCACTTACTTTAAGGTGTTTTGTGGCAAAAGCTTTTAATATTTATTTATTTTTATATTTTTATATTTTTTTTTGTATTTCATCATAGTTAAAATGCAGCCTCCTTCCATTTCCACATATATACATATGTATGTATGTAGTTCTTTGACGAGTATAGTTTATTATCTTCTCATAAGATAAGATAACCAGCTACTTATGCGGCCAAAAATAACCAATAGCGATTAAAAACTAAATTGAATGGTTTTAAATTAAAGTTCATGAGACTGTGACGGAGCCATGACAACCTTGAAAGTATTTTATTTCTGGCAATACCTGAAGGGGGTCTCTTGAGAGGGTATTTTTGAGGCTAAGTGATAAATACATAGGTAAAAATGGTAGGTCCCATTAACCACCACAGAAACAATTAATAAGGCCAACTTTCTTACTTGTTTCTCTTTTTTTCGATTCCATTAACTTAAAGATGCAACTTCTTAAAAGATTTTTTTAGTAAGACGATCCTAAATCAATAATCAAACTTAATACCCACTCTTTTTTTCATATTTTTTGCATAGATTGTCTTACGAATTTCGTTCGTTTTGTTATATATTTTTTTTGCCTTTTGCTTTTAGCATTTTCTGGCTAATTCATTTGTTAATTTTTTTCTTTTTGCTTTCAGACACAATAAACATACATACATATTTTGGAAATTAGCATTTTTAATGGGCATTGGAGGTTCAGGCGAGACACAATGTCGCCTAAAAAACCGAAACCGGGGGGGAGCCGAGTTATTTTCTCAATCTCCGCATTTGCATACTCATTATTAGAACTTTGTTGTTGTTGTTGTTTATACTTAGCATAACAAATTAATTTCTCAAAAATCTCTCAACTCGATTTCTGTTTGATTTCTGTTTATGGATTTCCGTTTCGGTGTTTCTACGAGGCATTCCTGGTCTCTCGATCTCAAACACAAACCCGAATCATTAGCAAAGAAATAGAAATAGTGATTGAGATAGTTTAGTATTGAGTTTTCAGTAAGTCTCCAGTCGCTTTTTGTTCACCTGTTTCGGCCTGGTCTACTTTAATTGCTGGGTTTCCCCTTACACCCCTTTGTACCGGTTTTCGGACCTCTGCTCACCTCTCTCGCCCCTTCCATTTAGTTGTCACTAAGTCTGCCTACCGAGTCTTTGGTATCCCAGAGTTACACATCTATTTGTTTAATTTATCTGCAAAGCTGTGGTCCCAGAAGGGTGGGGGGGCTAAGTTAGTAAAAATATTTCATTTTAATCAACATAATTTTGAGCCCCCTTGGCTTTTGCTTTTTTACCCTTTAATTTTCTTGTATATTTACCCCTTTAAATATTATTCTCAGCCGCCCCTCTTTAAGGCATCGGTTCTTCGTTGTGAACTCTGAATATTTATAGTTCCTTCGGGCTATTAGCATGGAATTTGCTCTAAGGCAGGAGTATCAGCAGAGGAAGCCAGAAGGGGTAGAATTTTGTCTGTTAAGTCAAAGAATATCTTAACATAATTTCCAAATTCAAGTTAATTTTTTCGTTTTTTCCTTGAAAAACTGATTACTAATTTAATAGGAAATATATTATGCTGTAATTTATAATGACAATAGTGCCTAATTTTCATTGATTTCGCCATGATAAATTAATACAGTTCCCCATAAATTTTCCCCCCTTTAATTTTAGATAGCGTTCGATTATAAATTAATGCACATGTCGCGGGGGAAACAGAACCAATTGAATTAAAAGCCATAATTTAATTAACACCCGCTCGTGCACACGACAAACAAATAAAATACAACAAATAAGGAAAGCCAGAAGGCAAATCAACGAAAGAGTTTTCAGCCCCCAGACCCGCCCCCTTTTTGCACGGTGTACTATGTATGTTATGTAGATTGCGCATACGCCGCGTGTGGCGCCCGGGTGGCGTGAAAATGAAATTGGCGCCAAACGAATTTGCAATGGTCAATTAAAAATAAAAAAAAAAGGAGAGAAAAACAAGAATCAAGCGAAAATATAACTTCAACCATAAAGGTGTGTTAATATATTCTAAACGCTTTGCCTTTGTTTTTTTTAGGGAATAGAGAAAGGGGAGGTGACTGCAGCTTAAACAATAAATAATTTCGATGTGGCGCCTCAGCGGCGATTGTCGTTCAGAGCAGTTTAGTTCATTCGTTCCCACGTTCCCATTTCACGTGCCACACACGACAAGTGCACTATATATTGGTTCCGGTACACGATGTACCCGGC